ATAGAAGTGAAAAATAATCGAATGAAATCAATTAATTATGTGCCTCACGAAACAACAAAGCAAATTCCATTTTAGCTGTAAAGAATTTGCCTACATCTTTTGCGATGTAGGCAAATTCTTGAAAATAAACACAGGTCAAAACAGCCGTTTTTGGGCACTTTCTAGAAACTTTTGAATTAAAAATTGCAATTTTTTGGCATACGCTTCCCTTTAAAATTAGCGTATATTGGCTCCCAAGGCGCCTTTAGAAAACATAAGGGTTGGTCTACCTAAAGTGGATGTCAGAAGGTCATACCAAAGAGGTAAGAGAAGAAAAAAGCGTCCGTCAATTATAGCTTTAATTAATTATAAATTTACAATGTCATGTATTTGTACAAACTCAAAGAAGACGAAATCAGGTTTGGAACCCCCCCCCCACCTCATATATATACTTTTTTCAGGTAAAAACTTATTTAGTTCAGAAAATGACCGTAGCAGACCTTGATTGACAGCTTTACATCTATCAAAAGCGTGTTTTGCGAAAAAAGTGTTTATGCTCAAACGCTCCAAGTTTTGATGTTTTGATTTGTTCTTTGATTTTTATTGAATTCCTTCATACTTTAAAAGTCAAAGGCCCTTTTAACGCCAAAATTGGGTAGAAAAGGCCAAAGCTTGTACAATATTAGATAAAATTTAATTTTTTTTCTCATCAGCGGAACTGCGAGCACAGTTTAAATGGTATGTAGTAAATTGGTACGACGGGAAATTGTTAGTAAGTAAAAAAATGAAAAACTTATTTTGCTGCCTTTTTCCCCGATTCTTTGAAACCTACATAAGCAAAGTTATCAGATCCGTGTTATCAATTATAATTGTTTGTTTATCGCTTTGACAAGACTATGCTACTTTTTTTTGTAAATGAAATTCAGAAAGATGCAAAAATGTTTTATAAGGTTTTGGTTCTGCGTGAGACTTTTTTAATAAAAGCTGCTAAGTTTTTAGTAGCTTTAGAAAAATTAACCAATTTCTGAAGAGTTATTCCACTCAATTGTGATAATGCTTAGACGGATATATTAAACTCGATCGATTTGTTTTTAGTTGGTCGAACGCAGTCGAATTGATTTTCATCGGTCGAATATAGCCGAAACACAGACAACTTGGACATATCAAGCCTGGGTTTAAAAAATATTCTGTGTTTTTGAAGAAACAAATATTCCTCCGAGTAATTGCATGTTTTTATTTCAGCTCAAGCAATCTGGGTGCATGTTGGTGACTTCACAGGTGGGGATGGTCATCGTGAACTGTTAACTGTCTCTGAGGTGATCGTTCATGAAAGGTTAATAGATAACTTTTGCCTTTCTCTGCAGGGAGGGGGGGGGGGGGGGGGGGGGGCGGGGCTTTCTGTATGATCAACCCTTAGAACATTCTATAAGTACTAAAATTGCTAGGGTAGCGCGCGCAAAAAAAAAACAGTTTCTAAAATACGCTCAGAAAGGTTGATTTCCCCCAAAAAAGTGCCTGCAGAGATATGGTCCTTGAAATTTAAATGGTCCTAGATAAAGCCAAAAATCAATTGAAATGAATAGCCTTACAGAAAAAATTTACCGAACAACCGAATGATAAACCGAACCCATGCCCCAATAAAACCACCTGCGCGCGCCATTGATCAAACTTAAAAAAATTCCTTGATAACTACTGGCAACTCAAAAAATCATTAAACAGTGTCTAATATACTTTTCAAAAATCAAAGACGACAATAAAACGCTCATATTTAACCATATTCAACAAAAGAGAACTCAAGCTCAACAAAAAGTTAAGAAGAACAAAACGGAATTTCAATTTTAACGCAAAAACATCAAATACAAGAAAGTTGAAACAAAACAACCCGGGTTGACCAAAACTTCTTATCATACAATTTCCATATATCAGAAACTTCTTGTCATACAGTTTTATACAATTCCATACGTACAGAGAATTGTATGAAAACTCTGTGATAAGCATTTTTCCATATATGAAAATTGTATGATAGGTGTTTTTCCATAAACCAAAAATTTTGATTTTTTCTTTCTAAATTTAGTTTCTGAAAATTTTTTGGTTGTAGTTGCAACCGAACACAAGTGACAAAGACCTTGGTTACTCAAAACACCAAAGGTTGGACGGTCTTGCATTTACAATGCATAGAAAACGACCTGAATATGGCTGTCTTTCACAATTGATATAACAAAAATAACAAACTTTTATTTTTTGGCAAAATTTTTTAATCATGATTATTTTAAATTTTTGAGTTTTTAAATTATCAGATATTGATCAAGGCATACATTAACACCCCATACAACATAAAGAAGAATTTTCAGCGTTTTTGAAAAAATTTTTAAGTGAAAAGAAAATAAAAGCCAACTTTATCGTATCCAGGACTACGTTATGCACACAAAATATTAATTTTTGCATGCAAAAGAAATTTTTTTCGAAAAATGTTTGTTTGCGTACGAAATTCGATTTGCGGTTGAAAACAAAAACACAAAACAAATTTTTAGGCCAAATTTTTCGAAATTACTTGAAAAATTTTTTGTGTCACCATCATAAAAATGCCAGTCATACAATTTCCATATATGGGAATTGTATGATAAGCATTTTTTTCAAAAAACGAAAACCTCAGTTTTCTTATCACCAGACTGTTTTATTAGAATCAAACAGCCACAGAAATGAGTTTATACCAGTTTTCAACCATTTTAGAAATTGTATGAAAATTGTATGACAAGCATTTTCCCACACACTTGATGTATGGAATTGTATGATAAGCATTTTCGGTGTATGGAGGTCAACCCGGGAAACGGTGCTAGGGTTTTAAGCAGACCAAACTTTTAGCAAACTCAGAACAATTATAAAGTCAGATAGCTAACTTCAAGCGCGGCATTGGTGATTAACAACCGCTTGCTCCGCTGCGCTTCAACTCAACACGAGCGTTATTGTACGAGTAAATCGTTTATTTGCCGCTATTTTAGACTGTTGTGTTTTTGAAGTTGATAATTTTGTTGACAAATTGTGAGATGATTGTCTTAATTGGGGAAACTTGGCGCCAGACTGAGCGTCTTTTTGAGTCTGTCAATCAATCATCCATCATTTTATTATGTTGGACTGCTAAAAGACTCATTTTTCACTTTTAAGTTGAGCCTTGCGTTTCGTAGTTGCGCCTTTACTTGCCGCAAATTTCCACAGAGTAATTTTTTCGATCGTTGTCGCCGGAGATTTTCAACCTGGTCGTTAACATGGAGGCCTTCTCAATCGTGCTCTCTTTGGTTTATGAGATATGAAGGTCGTACCTAATTACGGGGTTACTCGTTGGCTCATCTATGTTTTGTATAAATACCACGAATAGTAGCTTTTTCCGCGTTTATGGGTTCAGCCAGCTGCGTTCCCTTTTAATCCCACTGTCACAGCGGGTCTCTTTCTTCCTCCTCTGACAGTAATGATCTGCCCAATATTTCCTTGTCAAAACAGATGTTTTCCTATTTAATTTTATCCAGTTGGATTTTGCACTTATATTTGAGAATGTGTCTTGAGCTGGGGTGAGGTTCATGTTTCGGCCGGAGTGAGCTTCAACCGGTGAAATTTTAATTGTATTTGAGACTGTGGTTCTCAATGCCTCTATCATTTTATTTAAGAAATTATCTAGTTTGAAGGATTCGTGCCGTTCTTTACTCATAAAAACCAATCGAGTTCTAACCGTTTTAAGAGGTCATTCCATTAGTCTTATGGCGCGATGAACCTTGGCTGGTGCTTTCATGATTCAATTTTCTTGTTGTAACAGTGTTCCATTATTCCTCTTACCTTAAAGCACGATGCCTGAACTTTCCGGATAGTCTGCGGTGTTCCATAGAGTTTTCATTTTTGTCTGAGGAATTTGATTGCATTTTAAACATTTGTCTGATTAATATCTTTCGGTGAAGGAAAAATCGAACATTGACTGGTACTTATAACGTTATACAACTATTTTCTCTACAATTCTTTTGTTTTTGATGGCCCCCAAAGGCCGGCTCAATTTCTTCAATAGATTCGCTTATTTCGTCCTTTACCGTTACTTTGTTTTTTCCATCTCGAGTGAGCAATTTGTGGTTTTAGGTTCTTAAGAATTGCGGAAAAAGGTTTGCATTACTCGGCGCTACAATGATATTTCTATTCTTGTGCGGCCATCATGTTTTTTCCGAAGCTGAAGTCACTTCCAACTGTCAGGGTTGAGTAGTATGGGTTACATCAAGGCATCCGTCTCTGAGAAACAACAGTATGGTCACTCGTGCGTCTACGCATACTATTGCTCCTTCCACGTGATAGTCACTCCAGTTCTGATGGTGTTATTGGCTCATTTTCTAGCATCTTTACATGTCCTTTGCCAGGATAAAATGCTTGAGTTCTCGTGAGGTGCGGTCTCGGTTTGTCAAAGCGGCGATGAGTTTCCAGTTGAAGAAGCGTAACCGCTTATTTTATTTTTATGGTGTGTCGGTCAAAATGAAATTCTTTGATGTACCCTAATAGGTATCCAATGGTATGAGTAGTACATCCCAATTAGTCAGGATCCTAGACATGGATCTTTATCTGGACTTTCGTCCTCTTTCTTAATGTGATCACTATCTTGCAAGCGTGATACTTCTTTTTTCACCTTGTCTCTTTAAATAATGGGTTGCGTCCACCTTTGTTGTGTAGCTCCGCTAATACTTGGAACGTACAGAAAAATCAATTGCCAATCCTTTGCGAGGAAACGATTTGTTGATTATTTTGGGCCTATTTCACTTTGAACTCACACTCCTTTGAATATGTTTCCATTATCTTACCCGGATCACTGTTCGTGTGGTGGTTCCTGTCCTGTGTTATCCTGAGCTGTAGATTCTTCAAGTAACTTCAACCCAGAATCGGCTTCAGTCGGTAACTTGAGTTTAGGCCTCTTCGACACACCACCCAGCTGATTGTAAAACCCTTACCACTGTCACGTATGTTTTAGTTGCCCCTGGGTGTAAGTTCTTACTGCCTGCTGATTTTGATCCGAATACCAAAAACCATGTTGTACGTTCCACCGCATCTTTGACCATCGAGTTTGGAATTATGGTTGCTATATTTCCGTAGTCTGCGACGGATGTGAATTTCAGCTTTCCAAATGTGATTCAAATTTTTCGTCAATCGGTTTATTCGTTGGTTGTTGCTCCCACTGTTGCATTATTTTTGTTCTGACTCATTCACTACTATCATGCAAGTATAATGTGTTCAGACAAGGAATCCTTGTATAGGTGTCCTACTACTGTGTTCCATACCCCTTGAGGTTGATTCAGCCACTGTTCCACTTAGAAACTTGTTGATTGTAGCCAGCGACATGATTTGATCTACACACCCGAGAAAAACTTTGTTGCCCCCTCAGTTGCTACAATGGCGGAAAGAGGTAAAGGGTTGCAGCCGCTCATAGTTGACATCTCCCATAGTTGAGATCAACTCATAACCCAAATAATGATACCTTTCCGATCAAAAACAGAAGGGTTAATTAAATATGTATAGCCACTCTACGGAAGATGCAACAGCAAAACTCTATGCCTGCATCTTCCAATGCATCTCTTTTCACGAATTTCACCCGTACACTGCTCATCTCTGACAAATCTACTTTCATCTTCGGCGCCCGTTTGCAGCTACCCTCAAAAGTATTCAGCTTCATTGGAACCACGATAGCTGAAACGCTAAAATTCTACAATATCGAATGGCGACCCTCTGTCTGGCTCTCGTTTCGGTGATTGTGGTAGTGATTCGTTTCAATTGTAAAATAAGCGCTTCTACTAAACTCTATTTCTGGCTGACAATCGCGATCTTTCTTTGCTAAAATTTAAGCCATGACCGAGGCAATTCTTAACTCTTGTCGCTACCGCTTTTCAGCAGTGACATTGACGACAACTTTCCACTGATACCTAAACATTTCCTAATGGGTCGTTCATTCTTTTACGCCTCAGCAGCAGCCATCTACAAAGCATCTACAACCAAACTGTTTTATAAGTCTTGAAAGCGAGCAAAACATACAGCTTCTGGAGGCGTCCATTTAAAGAGTACGCCCAACTCTTGTCAAAAGCACTGATCGGACGCAACCCGAGAAGTCACTCGAAAAAACCTGTGGCCTCTAGGTCGAGTGCTAAAAAAAATTTTTCCGGCTCTTGGAATGTGCGTTCGTGTAAGCTCAAAACGAAATTTGATACTTTAACGAAATCAGCGGTGAAATTGCACTCATATCTTCTGAAACAAGATAAAGTACCAACCTCAATAATGACGCAATAAGGATTCGGCTCGCCATCCTCCCGTTTGGTATAGAAATTTAAGGGTTTCGCCGAGGATGTTGATGATCATCAACTTCTGCCGGCATATCTAATTTGATTTTAATTTAAACGCTGTAAATATATTGTCCTAAATGTTTGGTGTGTCTGATTTTGACTCAGCGAGGTTAGACCAGGTTGGGAATTAAAGCTTTGAAAATCAGTAATCATCAACTGTAACCTGAATCTTGACAATCGATCGACCAAGCTCGACATCAATACCCTCAAATAGATCTCGAAGTACTCGTATTCTGTCTGCGAACAAACACGATATTGAAACAAGACTACTCGTACAAGTTTCTTCAAAATGATTCGCATGATATTGGTTAGGGTATCAATTTTGGTCCGCTGTGCAAATCAATCCACGCACTTTATTCAATCAATTCAGCAACTCAGGTGCAATTGTGTACTTTGTTTGTAAACAAGAACTTTTGAATGATTTTTGTAATATTTTGTCAAATAATGATACGAATAATCAAAATACTAGGTTTTTTTTCAAGGAAAGGACGAATTCTCAAATTCATCCTTCCTTTTAAGGAAAAGTTTGGAAAGTTTTTAGGAAAAGTTTGCAAGGCCGAAATTGGTGGCATCAAAAAAACCAGACAACTCAAACTAATTTAGTTTTAGCTTCAACTCATTGAACCATCAGCATGACATAGCAATGCTGAGACTGATGTTTCCTCTCAGCATAGAGCACAGGCAACACTCTTTCAACCTCTGCAGCAGCAACACTGCCACAACTGCAAACAACATCTGCACCCTAATGGGAACATGTGGCCTGGGAACCATAATGGCCTCTCAAGACATCGAGCCCCCCAACTTACGCGAAATATTCCTGACCGAGACCAGAGGGGGAGTTATATTTCAACGATGTCCTCAAGGTGTTATTTGTACACACAGAACAAGTAGAGTGAGCCAGAATATATGTAGAGGCGATGAGGGGGGACCTTTGTATTTGTTCCATGGAGATTCAACAGTGCCGAGATGTCTTTACGGTGTCGCGAGCTACTTCGGACCGGATAGAAGATCCAGAGAATTATGCAACGGTGGCAGTTTCTTCACCAGTGTTCCAGCCCATTATTACTGGATTCTGTCCAAACTTCATCAGTGAAATAAGCTATACGTTTCCCTTCCCTCCCTTCTCTCCCTCCTCACCCTGTAACCCATTGACTTCTCACCCCAGTGACTTGAATTATAGAGTAACCAAGGTGCAAATTGCAGAAATATATGTTATTATAAATCTATAAAAAATACACTGCTAAATTTGCTAAACATTTTGCTAAACAATTTGCGAAGTTTTAAAATAATGATTTTATAGAATAAATTTTGTTTGACAATACAGTGGGGCGTTGAAGGTATGGTCTGAGATAGGTCTTTTTTATCTGGCGTTTTTTTATTCTCTGATAAAAACTATAATTTGAACAAGGACAGCCGTTTACTGTGCAAGTAGCACAGAATGTTTTAACCATAGTCTTTTTAAAAACATGTTTTTTCAAATTAAGGCCGTTTTTTTTTGCGTTGTAAGTAAAAAGATCTGAGCAAAAAAATCAAACTGGAGCATATTTGACAGTCATAGTAAAATGGGCCAATTGAAAAACATTTTTTCTAAAAAATGACTAAAAAACCGGAAAAAAAAGCTTAATCATGTAAAACTAAGTTTTAACGGCTTAAGCTATGAAAAAAAACTAATGTAAGCCTGCACGCTCACCATATTAGCTTGAAAATTTTTGTAACACTCGATTCATTCTCTCGACCCATTCGAATTATTACTTATTGTGAAGTATTGAAAAAACTACTCGGATAAAAAACTCTTGTTTTAATTGCTTCTTTGGAAATAGAGTGGACTCTTTTCCTTTTTAAACTCGTCAACCCTTTGAGAACTAGTCCGAGTTTTTTAATTTTTTCATTATTGAGTTTTTTGAAATACCCAATTTTTTCACGCACTCTTTTTTTCGGATATCAAATGACAGTGTGTCGCCACACAAATTGACTGGTTAAAACGTCCTGCCTTGAAAAACAGAAAATAGTCCAGTTAATCGACTAAAATACGTACCAAAAATAAACTAAGATTAGTATTATTATTTTCTGCTGAATTTCATTTCCTCCAAAGTGCTTAAAAGCTAATAAAATCTTCATGGTTTTGAAGGGTATTAGATGCTCCTATATGCAATTTAAGAAAAACCTAAATTTTATGAAATAGTGATTATTGCATCACATATATATCTAATAATTCTCTTTTGTCATTATCTATCCTATTTCATCATAATCATTTTTCGAGATTTATCCTCAACTTTCCATAACTTATTTTAACTTAACCCACCTTAACGAAACTTAAACCTATGCTAACCCACAAAAAGGTACTTTTTACCAAAAATTAAGTAGGTAATCCAAAAGGAAGGAACATAATTGGGGTTTTTTTTATTAAACCATTGGCTTTAATTGACAATTTTTGATATACAACGAATGAAATATAAACTGACAATTTAAAATTCTGCTTAAGAATTAACCACATAGCCCCAAACGCCATGTTTTAGTTTTAGACTCAAATTATTAAGTTTCACCATTAAAGTTAACGCTGAAACCTTAACACATCCATTTTGTATCATCAAATTTTTTTGTGTCATATGATGGCTTAAGCATTTGAAAGCTGTTTTTATTCGCCAATAAATTTTACATATCAGTCTAGAATTTAGTCGAAGGATCAAAAACAAAAAAAAAGTTTCTGGTCAAAACTTTAATTGTTTGTTAACGGATTTGGCTGGAAGAGCAGAAATTTAACAAGTAAATGCAAACTCCTGATATCATAAGCCAAAAAGCCTTGTCAAAAACAGTACGCTTTTGTTAGTTTCAAGTTTGAAAGCACAAAAATTGATTTTTTGCTCTCAAAGTTTGGCTTCAAACGTCGCTTATGGCTTTTTAGAGAAAAATAACGGTGAAAACCCCACCCAATCATTTTTAAAATTGGATTCCTTAGCCTGAAATTTAAGGTTCGGAGTTTGGTGTTTTTGGTATCAGACACCAAAGTTCTTTGTTTCAATTCAATAATCTGGAATAGATAATAGGAATTTTTTTACAAGTCTTTCCTAAACTCAAAAAAGTCACAGATTTTGTTTTTTAAAAAGCATATACTAAAGATCGGAGCTAGATTTTAGTTTTTGAAAAACTTAAATCAGGTTATCATACCATAAATTCAATTTTGAAATCAAAGTTTCTCGCTCAAAAACTTAAATTTCAGGAAGTTTAGATTTTGGAATTATAATTAGCTCATCAGTCTAAATTTCACTAGAACAGTAATCAAACACCATTTTTTATGTACTGGAATGGAGAGAATTCAACGTTTTTTTGATTTCAGACTTCAAAAACTACATTTAAGTTATCAAAAAATTGTTTTTCTCGATTTTTTGTGATAAATAATGAAGCAAGTTTAAGGAAATTATTTGCAATCTTTTAGTATCTTTAGCACTTAAAGTTTCAGGTTTAACAACAAAAGTCTTACGTCAAAAAACCATTGACACAAAAATTTGTAGGACAATAAAAAGCTTAAAATGTACTTAAATGAGTATCTCATCGCAAAAAAACCCAATCGTACGCTTTGAGAAACAACAGTTTGCGTTTTGGCTAAAGGTTTCGGATTACAAAATTTTCTACTTTCAGAAAAAAAATTAGGTTTTTTTTTCATAAAAATTTAATTTTTTATTCAACTCATATTCAATTAGATTTGACAATTTCCAAAACCTTTAGAAAATTTTCAGTTGAAAGCCCTGATAATTGAGAAAAAACTCTGGTTACACACAAAAAATAACTTAACTCAGACAAACCGAGAGGAGTTACTGTCAAAATTTAACTCCATAACACTTTAAAATTGACGTCTGCAAAAAAAGTGTAAATTTCAATTTGACATAAGGCCTCCGACCCGATATGGTAATTCATCAACACTGAAAATTATGAACTTAGTATATTATCAAAACACCCTAACGAGGGTAAAATGAACTATTTGTTCTATTCCGACGATACACTCCAAACATAGGTACAATTTTTCAACAAATATGAGCACCAAACAAAACAAAAACGATTACTTTCTTTACTTCCAATTGCTTCTCAAAATAATCTTAGTTCTTAAAATAATTTAAAAAATGATAATATTTATTTTTGGAAACTATTTTTTTCTCACAACAAAAACTGAACTACCCAACATCTTATATTTCATTTGATCAAAAGTTTCAATTCATCACAACGAAAAGTTATTAGTGTTAGAAAATTTTAGAAGGTTTTTTTAAACAAACACACATTTAGGCAAACTGTTCAAGTTCAATTTCATAAACTAAGCAATTTATAGTAAATTAAAAAACAAAACAAAAAATAAACTTGAAAAATTTTTATGGTCTATCAACAACATCCATACGACCTTATTCTGTCCAAACATCCAACAAGAAGTAGCCAGGCGGCAAAACTACAGAAATAAGTCCGTTTTTTTAAAAAAAAAGTTACCTGTTCTCATAGTCTTTTTGGCATAATCGACAAAAAGCTATATTCATCAAGCGCAAAAATTCTCATAAAATTTATCTAATTTTTTTTTAAGACAAAAAAATTCAGTACACAAATAAAACCCAAAATTTTAAGAACTGATCGCCAAACTCTAGGTAAATTAAAACAAAAATTTCCAATTTCCAATTTGGTTCTCGAAAATGTTGCAGGCACCGGCCCAAAAAAACTGCAAGATATTTTTATCTCTTGAAATCAGTTAAAGAAATCAAGTTTTAAACAGATTCGGTGATGATGAGGAAAAATATAGGAAACGAACCGAGATAGAAAAACATACGAAGACAAAATGATGAATTTGTTAAAAAATTTTCACATACATTAAACACTGCAGTAGATCGTTTATGGTCAAATCCGACTTTTCATGTTGATCAAAGAACAGCAAAGAAAAAGGAGTGAGATTTAGAAGTCCGCCAGGTTCTAAACGTTTCTAAATGAGACTCCAGCCGCAACTCGGCAACAACTATAAAATCATAAAGCTATCAATGATTTAAGTTTCGCTTTATTGAAGTGAGTTTACTCGAAAAACAGCAAGTAGTGTTGATAAAAGATTGAAAAAAGAAACTCAAGGAGTTAACAGGGCTAATGAAGAAACATAAAACAAAAGCAGCTTCAAATCCAAATGAGTTTGAAAACAAGCAAAACAAGTCAATAGTTTTTGCAATCGTGTTGCGTGTTAGGCCGTATTAAAAGCCAATGCTTTAACTCTATAGATCACAAATCACTTCAGAGAAAAATCATGCATCCACTCAAATAAAAGAGAATGTAAACAAATACTAATATAACTACCGCACTAGTTCAAGAGTGGACAACAATTTCATTGACACAAATTCACAACAAGATTTTAGGCACATATCAAATTACAATGAAAGGTTTCAATTTCGTGACGAGTCGAGTTTTAGTCAACCTTTCAATCATAACAACGATTATCATTCACCTTAACAGATCCACAATATAAGTGATAATGACATTTAAAGCAACTATAGCAATATGAAGTGTGATTATTTTTGTATAAAATAAATTCGTGTCTGACTTAGCCAAAACCGCAATAAAAGAAACTTGAACTTACAGGTTATACAACTTTTGACGATAATTTTTGTACTAACAGTGGTTATTCGGTAAAAATTCAAAGATGAATTTCAGCCAAAGTTGGATGGGATCTAAATATAATAGAAAGGGGTTTAATTTCCATGAAAATTAAAAGGTAGGTTAGAATGAATAAGTACCAAGTAGGTTAGAATTAATAAGTATCAAGATGTACCAGAAGTTTAAAAATATCCAAGTTTTGCATATCCAAGTTTTCATCAAATAGTATTCTGTGAATAAAACATTCAATTTATGCCAAGATCAATACGCGTTCTTTCAATTGCTCCAGCAGGCATAGTTACTGAAAAAGGAACATCTTCAAAAATTTGTAAGTCTCTGGAACGAAATTACATCATAATTTGATCGTATACCTTTAAAAACACAGTAATCCAACTGATTTACTATACTGAATGACGGTTATGAATGACAACTAACAGAATAGGGCAAAAAATGCGTAAACCTGGACTATTTTCTTTACTGAGATCGAAAAAAGGTAACTTACCAACAATATTGGACCATCCTCAAAGTCAAATAAAGATAGAAAGATCAGGGCTCAATAAATACGATTATTGGTTTTTGAAATTAAAAACTGCAAAAAAGGCCAGGAGTTTGAAATACTAAAATTTTA